TTGGTAGTTGAGGTCCCCACGAACTGACAAGTTGAGCATTTTAGTAGAGCATGCGGCCAGGAAGTTACAATATTCTCGAAGTACACTGGAAATTGCCCCCTCTTCTTTATAAAAATAACCCCATATACTCAAATGACCACAACCACGAATTTTAGGCCGTTGACTGAAGAGAACATCGTGAGATGTATAGTTACCACGACTGGTGCAAGAGACCATCCTAAACCCGCGTTCGAAAAAAAAAATGAAAGTGTTCAAGGTAATGAAAAGTGCACAACACAAGTTCTTTCCCTCATGCCATCCCTCCAATCTTAACTCCCCATACTATCATAGGGCAAGAGAAAAGGGAAAGAAATTAACATGGGCAGAAAATTTCTGTGAACTCTGCTTGTGCTTGACCATCTTTAAGAATGCTTGCGGTGGTCCCTTAGTGAGTAATTACGCTCCTTTAATAAAAACATTCGACGGAAAGTCGTAAATGTGTTGCAGGGCCATTTTAAAGGGAAAATAGAAAGCAGCGAAGTCAGCGCACTTACACGAAACGTCCTTGGCGTCGTGTCAGGTCCCCTGCAACAGGAGACGATTGGCCACAGCGAGCCTGCAGAGGTATGCTCGTGTGCAGCCAAACATGGTTAAATTATGATATAGTCGCATCTGATGCGAAGGCACATTTATTTTAGGAGCACTTTCCCAACTAATGTACTGATGGTATTGTTCAATTCGTTATAAATGGTAATTGGTGTCATCAGTTCTTGCTAATCGAAGTTTTGCCAACAGCTTCTCGATGTCCAGCCACGATGTCGCCTATTCAAGAATCGTAAAACGCAGACATGCTATATCGTCGCAATAATATTATTGAATTTTTTCGCAGGGACTCCAGGATTATTGATAATATGAACGAAGGGTCAAAAAGGAACCAGGAGGCAGACAGGGTTGTCCAAACGTATGCAGCAGACCAAGCCCCCCATGAACCAGCTTTGAAGTAGACCATCATGGTATAGCGTGAACATTCCCTCCTGAAATACTTCAACAGACTCAATCTTACCTACTTCATCACCCACAAGAAGATCACAAAGGAAGAAACCGTCAGCAGGAGATCAATCTAGACTGGAACCTAGAAAGACTTATATTTCCTTCAAGCCACAAAACACAATTTATCAAAATAAAGATCAATCGGCCAGTAACACAGTATGGTTTACAAGAACGCTCAACCTTGCTTTCGCTGATTTAGTATATTTATCAGGCTTTCAAATGTTTATGCTATTCATTGATGTTTCATACGTTTGTGTCTTCTTTTTATATAATTCACACGCTACTCAGTAACTAATGTCAGTTCAATCTAATGCGTACTAATAAAGGGTCACATGTTCACCTAATTCTCCCACGAGAAGTTCGCGGCGTTTCTACTTTTGGCACACATTTTGTTATCATGTAGGTTGTAAATGTACTTCTTCTGCTGGAATGCTGTAATCGGGGCTTGTAAAACGCATGAGGTAGAAGCCAATAATGTTTTTTTTTGTATATAATCACAGATACAGAACTGTAAACCCCATAGTTTCATTTTGTGAAATACTGCCCATAGGACGCCAGACTCTGCAGTTTTGCGGACACGCAGCGCCACCTGTCAACGCAGCGCCATCTGGCAGTTTTGAGTAGTGCAAAACCCGACTCCCTTGCACAGTTTGCTGCGCAACTGGGTGCAACTACAGCGTACGAAACAACGATTGAGCTAAATACTAGGTGCATTTGCGCATTGAACACTTAGAAGAAGAGCTACGAATTTCTCTCCGCTAGTCGGACGCGTCACCGAACCGCCATGAAGTGCTTGTTGATTCACTCACCGAAACGACGGCGAAAGCAAGAGCAGACGCCACAGCTCCGCGCCTCACAAAAAAGACTCCAGTTGACACTATTTTTTGCGTTGTGAATAACCACAGACGCAAATGACTTCAGTTTTGATCATTTCCGCAGCTTTCGGGAAGCATATTGACGAAAGTACTAGATACGGGCCATCGCAAATTAACGCATCGGGTAAGCGAATTACTCTCATTCTCCGCGGCCGGTCGCATGATAATGTAAATCTCCTGTTATTGTTCTGAGTAGCCTCGATAGATAACCATGGTAACATTGATCATGTAGCTTAACAGAGCCTCCTACCACGGTGCACGCCGTGCAACAGTAGACAGGTGATACGCGCAATAAACATCACACATGCCGCGACCACCGATAATCTAAACGGGTCGCCGCACACAACATTACGCACGTAGGGCTTTGAATGGTCTAAGTTCTGGCTTCAACTATAAAATGTGAACACCTACGTCACACAGGTAAATCGCAAAATAATTGCGACCACAGTCACGTTTCTTTCTTTTTTTTTTACCGTTGGTCTCCACGATTGCCGGGCTATCCTCGAACGCTTCGGTTTCGCTTTTCGTTGTTCACTGAGAAAGTGGACACGCATGTATCCCCATTTGCAGTATAAACAAACGGAATACATCCATGAACAGAACATTCTAGCAACAGTTCGATGCATATGAAGCGAGAGATCGATAGAGAATGCAACTGCACAGACGAAAATCGCCAGGACCATTTGTGCTGGATGAAGCGAGTTCGTGCCACAGATGGTAAGATAGATTTCATTGCTTTGGCATCATGTGTATGCCCAAGTTTAACGCATTAAATAACGCATGTCGGAGTGCTTGCCTTGAACTCGATGTCATGCGATGCTCGCTTGCGCTTAAACTGCAGCACACCGAAATAACTGAAACATAATTTGTGGTGTACCGCACTTCGCTTTGATGCACTTTCTACTTTTATGAAGCGAAGTTGGATTGACGTAAGCAGCTTGCCAGGTCCTCTATTTTCAAGAAACCACACCTCATTACCACCGAAACAGGAGGGCCTATGCACGTTCACTTGCAGACGACTTTCTTCGCACTACCCATTTATGGCCGACGCGGCGATGAGGGCGCTGGCGGCGTCTTTCGCAGCGCCGCCTAGGGGACGTGCCGCGACCGTTCCAAGGCAAGAAACTCACGAAGTTAGCAGTGTCTTCAAGGTAGAAAAAGAAAAATTATCTGTCGCAGATTGATACCATGCTGAAGTGCCACCTGGTGCACGTTATACTTCAGAGGAAAAAGTGAGCAAGGTGGTGATCAGCATGCCACACACATACATGTCAGTTGTAACCATGAGCTGACGGATCACGGTCATGACTTGCAACATGCCTAAATCACAGCCTTCAAAACAAAACGTGACACAATCACAAATAAAGCAATATTGGGCGGAACGGCAAGTCAGTAAGAGCGAATATTTCTACACAGTATTTCGGGAGTCGTGTTTCAACTCGATCATGACGACAGATTCATCGGAGCACGTCAACTGTGTGCTTTATTAATCATTTTCGAGGGAAATAATTTTAGGCTGCCATTGCATTCTCAGCGAGCCGAACCCACTGTCACTTAGCGCTCGTTACTTCGACTGCATGTAGAACAAAAACAAGATGGCGATCAGTGCACACACACACACACACACACACACACACACACACACACACACACACACACACACACACACACACGCTACGCGACAAAGCGAAATAGGCCAAGCCGGCCAGACACATAGCGAATTTTCCGGAAGCTGTGTAAATAACTCGTGACAGTCCTATCTCGTTTTGGCATCGTTTCGAGATTAACAGCCCGATTTGTACAAAATGACAGCGCTAAATCTAAAGACGAAAGCCGAGGTAGCCGAAGGCAATGCTGAGGTGTACCAGAGATGAACTTCCCCCGAAACAACACGCTTTCGCGCAAGCAGTCCGACTCACCGACTTGTCCACCAGCCGTGCAAAATTATGCCCAGCGCATAGCACGACTATTCGCCGTATTCCAGGTAAACGATACCCGATCTTCCTTTACACGAAATACGCGTGACAACGAACGTCAAGGCCTATCAGGCTGCCAACTACAAGCTACACGTGCGTGACATTGTTGTTAGTGGTTCATGTGGAAAAGGAAGAAGGCACCTAATTTCTGTCTGCCTACAGGCGACACGGCGGATGAGCAACGTAAACATTGATTCTACCACGTACCAGTGTACATAACCCTCTCACTAAACCTTTTCCCGCAATCTAAACCAATGAGCGCGCAGCGTTTTTCTGTCTCTCCAGTGCTCATCCATGCAGTGGCGCTCTCTTTCGCCAAAGATTCGCAACCACTCGGAACCTGATTGGTTCATGAGAGTGCTGTGCTACAGTACTATTCTAGCCACTGTAGCTGTGCGTTTGTGCGTCAGGGAAGAGGTACGCAGCATAGTTGGCTGAGTTATGGACTCTTTTTACAACACCGAGGTGGTGTTGACTCGTTGCGCGCGCTTTTTCGTTCCCTGACGTCAGTTGGGCGCAGGCTTATTAGCGCGTGAGTACAACTTTTGTGTAGTTTCCTACTAATTACACAGAACTGCTCATTCTGGCGTGCTAGATGCCGGCGATGTCGGATGTTCGACCATTTTGCTTAATGGTGGCGGATAACTTGGTGCGAAAGGGTTTCAATTGCATCAGTTGTAGCTATTAAGGTCTAACATTGTTTAACACGTCTGGTTATGTTATGATAGAATGTTCACTAGCTTTTACGCAATTGGCTTACGGGCCATGTCTCTGTGTTTAATTTTAAGCAACACGAGATCGCGTGTTCGAGTGCCGGCTGCAGCGCTCAAGTGTCGACAGGAACGGTGTGAGAATAATGAAAACAATAATGCCGTTTCGTGCTCTCGCTGTGGTATCAAAATTTTCGGAATGCACCCGGACTTCACCGCTACGGCACCTGCACGACGGCGCTGTGCATTTTAAGACTTGGAATTCCGTTTTGTGTTTTTTTCCTGCTTGTAAATGCTGTTTGCGATTTCTTACGTGACTGCTGTGTATGATTCCACAGTTTAATAATGTTGGATAATTTGCGACGCTTTTGTTCAAGAGCCGGCGATCGCAGCACCGCGTGTATGGTGTCAACAGGTACTCCCGCAGCGGATATGCTGCGTCCCCTAATATATGATAACGGCCCTGACATACTGAAGCTATGTTCTTTGAAAGAGGCGATAAGCTAAACACATGAGAATCGTGCATTTTGCTGGAGGTTTCAGTGAACGCATCGAGGAAGCGCCTCTTGTGGTCACAGACGGCTTGCAGCGTTAGTGAAAGGTAATGGTGCCTGTTTCAGTATGTGGAGGCAACCTTGTTGGCGGGGCACTGTATCTTGACATACGATCCATCTATACAGCCAATAACAGCAGGCATTCCAGACACCTGCAAGCAAGTTGTACTCTTCTAATGAGTGATATAATCCATGCCTGAGCAAGAAATGAAAATACTGGTGCTCAAGCCCATTAACTCACAATCACAGCATACGCTTCATGACTCAGCAGAATATATTTTATGTTAAAGATGCAAAATGCAAACCAAATTCAACTTTGAGAACTAGTTAAGATAACATACATTGCTGTCCACACATATATACTACACGTTTGCTTGCTATCCACCTCACTTTTTACAATGGTAAAATGGGAGAGAAAACAAAACAAAGCCTGCGTATGTTTTTTCTTAAAGGGAGTTGAAGTACGTAATTGCAATTTAATTCTTAAATTTAAAACCAAACCTCGTCCATATTGTATCGTACATCTGAACAGAAATGACAAAGCATGCAGCATCATTCGCATGCAAGGAATCGACTGTGACTGCAGGAGAGACATAAGTTGAATGTTTCGAACACAACTGGATGATGCTCGGTATTATCATCACGACCTATCACATTTTTCTTAAAGTCCCATCTCAGCGTAAAATTGAGCTTGAAATAACCCACAATAAAATGTGCACTCGTGTTTGTGATATGCACAATATAGCTTGGCCGGCCAATATTATTGGTCCTCACGATAAATAAAATCAAAACAAACCTTCTCAAAACTGCTAGTGAGGTTCTCCAAGTCTGCGGAAAACTTGATCACCGATGGTACCAGCGTCATCAGGAACTGCGCTACTCTCTGAAGAACTCTGTACACGATGCTTTCTGACATGTCGAAACGGCTTGCCACGTCTCGCATGCAGGTTTTGTTGGCCTCGTACCTGCGCAGGGGGATTACAGGTACCCGAAAGCAAAAAAAAAAAAAAAAACAGCTTCAGATCACACTGCACTGTAAGCAACGGGCTCATAGTCAAATGCGTTCTTGTGTAGACATCGTACAAAAAAAAAAAAAGGGGGTGAAGGTGGGGAGGTGTAACTAACCAGATAAATGTCAAGACATGCGTTTCCGCGGATTTCGCTTGAACTTCTCCGTGTGTGCTCGAAGGGCACATTGACGAGACAGCGAACTCCGCGACCAACTTTTCGGCCACAGGTCGAGCCAGCCTAAAGTGCCTCCGGAACTGCTCAAGAAAAGAAACAAACGAAAACACCACAACGTGTTAAACCTTGAGCATAATGCTTTCCTTCTTTTTTTCTATTTCTTTACCTCGTGGTCCGAGTACTGCCGAACGACGTCCTCGATGAAACCGACGACTTTGGGCCTCTTCGCGGGAATGCGGAACAACTTGTTGAATTCCCACTCGTAAGCGCAAGGTTTAGCGTCGCTGTCACTGTCCGACGAATCACTCGTGTCGGTACTTGAGCTTTCCGACTCAGAGCTGTCGCTATCGAGTAGCAGAAGCATTGCCACACGCTTTGCCGAGGTAGCCGAGCCGTCCATGCCGTCCGCCATTATCAACACAACTCGCGCCGCGCCAGCCACGCCCCCAAGCAGACAAACGTGTTAAAGGAAATGCGTCACGCTGAGTTCCGGTCCATTCCACCGATTTCGGCGGAGCAATTTTTCCTGCTCCACGGAGGCACTCCCGCTCTGAATCCCCTCCGGCTCTCTCATTGGAACTTTTGACTCTCGCTCTCACTCTGTCATTGGAACACACTTGCTCTGAAAGGAGCAGAAAAACTTGCTGCGACTCCGCCACTGGAATTCAACATAATAACGTTCTGTCGCCATCTGTGTGTCACTTTCGTTTTTCTTTTTTAGTTTTTTTCTTGTGACCCAACTGTCACCTTATTCAATGCCAAAGCGTCTTATATACAGTACTTATAGTCAGCCAGCAGACTATCAATTTCTAAACGTGTACTGACTGCAAAACAATTTTATCTCTAAAATAAAGCACCGCCCGTTTCGTGGCCGATCTCCCACAGTAGGTCGCGCCAGGTCACTAAGAAACAACCTAAGGTATACGTTCATCCAACCATCTTAGGATTTTTTATTACTTGCAACTTAGAATTATTTATTACTCAAAAGACCGAAAAATTCATATAACCAATTTTTGGACAATCCCCCTGACTGGGTATGAGCCATAGTTGAGGCATCGTCGTTATCATCAACATGAACGGCACGGAATTCCATGATCTTCCTGGCGTAGGTGAGCAGAATACACTCCCAATTGGGAAATCATTGTGATACATATGTTCGCGTCATTGTGATAAACGAGAGAGCGACAGGGGCGTTTTTTCTTTTCCCTCCTGTGTGTCCCTAAACTCCTGTTATATTAGTAAGCACGCCGTCGTGAGTGTGTCTGGACCAATTTCGATTACATTGTGGTTTTTTTTAAGGAGCACTAAAGAGCAAAGCAATTTTTTCGTGTATTAGTGAAGTACATTTTCACTATCCCGATAACACCACCCTTACCGTGACATGATGTTTTGTAAGTGTGAAAACGCATGAAAAGAAAACGTAGGTGGAGACTGCACCTTGATTCCTGCACAAAACGTCCCGGCGTCATGGATTTTGAAGGCGTCTACTGAGTCCTACGTATATATCTATAGCTTCGAATGGATACAAAAAAAGGAAGTACACTGTCATCTGTATAGGTGCCATAGACATATCATACGAAGCTTCCGAAAATTTTATCGAGCCAATATAGAGAAATACGAAAATAGCATTTAGAAATTTTCGGCGTCACGCGCAGATATATCGGCGGGAAATTTCAAAATCAAACTTCAACCTTGATTGTCTCCGCTGATATTGAACTTATCGTAGTGAAACATGCGGTATTGGAGTTCTCAGAGTGCCGTTTGTCAATCTAAACCAATTCATTGTTTCTCTTCAGCGTCTCTTTAACGTGCATGTAAATCTTACTGCTCTGGCTCTCTCGCATGTCGCTCACAGCAAAATTCGATCACAGAGGCGGGGAATCAAATCTGCGTCGTCGTTTTAAGCAGAGGCAGAACAGCGTGAAGAACGCCATCAGCGGTATTAAGAACCTCTTCCTCGGCGTACTCGCGAATAGTTCGCACAATGGCATCGTTCGTAAGAGGAAAGCTCTGACCGGTCCTGTAGCGCTTGCCAATGCGTTAACGAAGCTCACAGTGCTATTTTTTCTCGTGTAGCGTTTATCATGTAGATTATGCTGAATATATTAGCGAATATACGGAGGCCAAGTGCCACGGTGGCGGATTTCTTGCGGCCATGCCAGTTGTATACGTAATGGGACTGTTTCATCAAACTACTAGTTTTGTAGTCGTATGCGATTGTGCTGTTTAATTAAGCTGCTAGTTTCCAGTTGTATGTAATCGTGCTGTTTCATCAACTGCTAGTTTACAGTTGCGTGCAATCATGCTGTTTCATTAAACTGCTAGTTTCCAGTTGTTTGCAGTCGTGGTGTTTCATCAAACTACTAGTTACCACTTGTATGTAATCGTGCTGTTTCATCAAACTACTGGTCGGCGTTCGCGTCATTCTGTTCGTTCTTCTGTCCTCATCGGTTAAGCGCCGTCCCGCCTCTCATTCGAGAATCGGGACCAACTGGCCCGAGCGTTGGGGCAAAGTTATGGGAAGAGCCTTCGCAATTACCGGTGACATCGAATTCTTACGCTTCATCAGCTGCAGCGTTGCTCGGGGCGCGACCGCCGATATTCGGACTCACCAGGAGGCCCGTCTTACGTATTGGCCTCCACGACTACGTCAGCAGGCCCAACGGGATCCTGAACTTCTTCGAGATGGTCAGTATACACTATCGCAGTGGTTGCGTGACAAAGCAACCGAGGGAGACGAGAATCGTTTGCGACGATGTAACGTTAGCCAAAATGGTTGCTTGGGCATGCTGGTGTACGCGTCATATTGGAAGGAAACGGCGCGATAGACGAGACACCGGGCAAAGAAAGAGACACGAAAGAGCACCGACTTACAACACAAGTTAATCCGTCAAACCATGCATTATATACGAAACGGCAAAAAAAAAAACAAAAACAAAAATGAGAGTCGGAGATAAATGAAAAAATCATTATCATCTTTTTAAAAAAACACCCTCATTGTGCGTGCACTCAACCTGATGAATGGATGGATGGTAAAACTTTATTTTGTCAGAAAGAAACTGTGGATGATTCCGTGTTAGATGGCCATCAACCCAAGGTTGGCGGTGACCTGTGTGGCCCACTCCACGAGCCTTAACTGGACGACTGGGTCTGAGCTGGTCAACACGGCCAAAAACACAACTTTCTTTTCTGACTGGGCAACTGGTCGAATAAACTTTTGTTGTAAGTCAGCGCTTTTGTGTGTGTCCTTTCACTGGTCTCTTTCTTTCACGCCGTTTCCCTCCAGAAAGGTAATGTTTACATGGCGCTACTCCTTACTTTTTAATACAGTTATCCCGCGAATATTACACAAAATTTCGTCTCGCAGCTTTTGCAGAACTTCGTCTGATGTTCTTTTGTAGCGGCGATGGACTTCGGCTGGTCCAACAATATGAGAGCGTCCGTCATACGCCCATCAAGCCAAGCATATACTCACGGACGCGTTCATTATAAGAAGCGAGTAGGCAAGCTACCCAATGGCAGCTTTGAAATGTATACCTGTTGCTTATATTCCGCAACATGCGGTAGTTATTAGAAAGTTCTCCCTGCAATAATCAAGTGCTTGTTATCAATGTTTTTTTGAAATTAAATTTGCCTCCATCGGCTACGGCGGGCGTACGTTTCTATACAGGTGTGAAAATGTTTGTCACCGAACGCGATTGGCCTTGGGCACTTTCACGGGGCTTAAGCACTCACGTTTTTTTAAAAGAAATTTTATGGTGAAGGGGACGAAATTGTATGCCGGCTCATATATATTTCGCCCGAAAAGAAGCTGCTTAATGAGTCACTTATAAATGCAATATGCGAGCATATGTCTGCTTAGTAGTTGTAGCACACCGTTTGTGTTGTAGCAGATTTCTTGAGCTATGAGCCATGTTTCCTTTGCGGAGATCGTAGATAACGAGATGTCATTTCGTGTGTGTAATCACACTGAGAAAAACGGCTTTTCCATGCGCCACACAGAAGCCGTCGCGTGTAACTCTAAGTAATTCCGTGGGTCGCTATAACTTCGCTGCAGGGGCAAGTATTCTTGTGAAGAATATTCTTGTTAAATCGGTAAATCAGTATTCGTGGTAAAACCGTTAGTTGGACTTCATAAGCTTCGCGTGAAACAGATATGAGCCTTGTAACATCGTTACTGCGGGTTCCTGCATCGAAGACGCACTCGTTAAAATTTCTGACGCTATAGTCACCGCTGGAGTAGTGCGCGTTACTTTTTAGTTACAAGTCATCATCATAAACGTGGGCACGTCCCCCCCCCCCCCCCACCACCACACGTCCTCCAAAGTCACCTAAGAGGGAGGCAGACGGTAAGTTTAATGAGTAAAAGAGGCGTTACAATGAACCTTGGCCCCCCCCTGCAGGGGAAACCTGCGCACGCTTATGGTAATGATAACGCGTTATATTTTTGGTTAGCGTAACGGACAGCGTATACTCCTTTTTAGTGACGCCCACGACACTATATCCACGCGCAGGTCGGCGGCCTCGTTCTGTTCTCGATGATGTCCGACGATCGAAAGAGCTCGAATGCGGTGCGGCTTCTTTCGAGCTCGGCGTGCGGTTTCGGCGTCAGCAGCGCCACCATGCTGATGGCCAACATCAGCAGCCCCGCCTGCGCGTTCTACTTGCCGCGCACGCTCTATGTGAGTATTCGAGTGAGGTTCAATCGAACATGCGCATGTATATGTGTACCGTATAGTTACCCGATTCCAACGTGCCCTCGATTGCAACGTGCACGTGACTTACGTATGACACCCCAAACAAAAATACAGATACGGGGCAGTGTAAACGTCTGTATCCGAATCTAACGCGCATGCGATATTAAGGCTTACTTTTCCGAAGAAAAAAAGAATGTGCGCTGAAATTGTGGCAAATACGGAAATCAGACGAGGCCAACCGTTGTCTGTTAATTGACGCCACTACACGCAGTGCGTGTGCTTTAGTTAAAGAACGAAAAGCAACTCTTGAACATTATTGGTTAGTATACAGTAAAAGCTGGCTAATTTGGATCTCACGTCACCAAAAAAAAAAAAAAATGTTTGCATTAACCGAATGCTGAATTATCGCATACAGCTCTTTCAGCATGTCCACAATTCTACACATACACTTCGGAGGTGTGCGTGTTCCTTCAAATGGCTTGAAACAAGCGTGTGCACATTCGTGCATGCTTCCTAAGCGGACTACTAGCGGTCGTTTAACGTCAATGTGATGTGTACTGCCGCAGAGGACCAGTTTGCCGAGACACTACCATGGTCGACGTGTTGCGTGCCAAGACTAGCGTCAAGAGTAATGTCTTCTTTGCTGGGAATGAGTGCAACAAGAAAAAAAGAACAAAGTGTACATGCATTTTGGGTCTAATGAATTGGATGCGAGGCATCTTATAATCGAGCTCAGTCCAATGTGCGGCTTGACTGCCCTTACTGTGCATGCTCCCT